ATTATTAAAAAAAATTAATAAAATTGATAAAATAAAGAAATATAATAACCATATAATTTCCTATAAATTATTCTTAATTTATATTACATATTTAGATTTAATTTATAAATATAAATTATTTAAAAACTTAAAACTCTCAATATAAAATTATAAATATAATTAAATGTTTTAATACAAAAATATTTTATTTTGTAATATAAAAATCTTTAGAGTTGAAAAACAGAAAAATTGAAAATTTTACATTTTGTACCGTACGACTGTTATTTATAAACCATTAATTATTATTGGAAGCTATTTTTTAATAGTAAGATTGAACGTTCGTTGGATATAGCATTTTAACTATTTATTTTTTACGGTTATTTCTTCTTAATCTCATCATTTCTCTAATAAGTTGAATCTACTAATTTATTTAATAAATTTACTTATTTTTAAATTTTCTTAATTGTATTCATAATTCATCAAATTAGCTGCGAAAAATTATTTGATAAATTTACTTCTTTTTAAATTTTGGGTCCATTATGTTTCTTCTATTAATTTAAATTAATTATCTGCTTCTTTTTTAAGATTTTGTTTGCTGGGAATTGGAATAACGAGGGAAATTTGAATTAAATAATTGTACTACATTCATTGAGAAGAATTTGGCAAAGGGAATCATGAATACTTCAAAAAATTATAATTATTTTTTTATTTAGATAATAAAAAATTATTTACCCTGAGAGTCAAAATACAACTTTTGACCCGATTTGAAACTTGATTCAAATTCGACCTAAAAAAATTTGGATTTGGATCTATCCGTTTGCGAAACGGATTGGGTCCGAGTTCGGATTTCTCACTTGTTTGAAAAGTGGGTTGGGTTTGGGTTGACTCGACAAAACCTATAGGTTCAACCTGAAATGATCCGTTTTGCAAACCCACTGTGCAGCTCGAGTTCAATGTCCTAATATAATTTAACATTGAAATCTTTATAATGCTCATTTTAAATACTTATCCTACACAATAAAAAAAATAATATAAAAATAAATAAAATACCAATACAATTTTCTATTTCCCTAAAAAACTAAATTTAATAACACAAATAATTAGAAAAAAACAGCTAAAATAAAAATGTAAAAGGAAACGATGACAAATAAGAAATAATATAAGAAACAAATATAAAAAATAAATACAATAAGTATATACATCAATAAAAAAGTTAAATTTTCATATCCAATGGCACATAAGAATCATTTCTCATACTCTCAGGTAGGGGTGTTAATTCGGATCAACAGGTCGGATTCGAGTCAAATCCAACTTGACTCGGCTGTAAACGGGTTGATCCTAACCTGACCTGGTTTCACAAATGGGTCAGGTTTGTCAACCCGGACTTGCCCCGTGCGGGTTACCGGGTTGACACAACCCGACCCACATATATTTGTGGGCTCGACGGCGTGGACGCGAAGCACGATTGTGCGAGCTGGATGATGTGACTCGAGACAAGCACAGCTATGGCCTATGTGGGCTGGACGGCGTTGACGCGGGACTAGCGACACGGACGCGAACTCGAGACGAGCGACTCGGACGAGTTATTTCAGGTTGAACCTATACGTATATATATGTAATGTTTTTCATGCATCAATACTAATGAAATGAGTTATAGGTATTAATCAGCGAATTTCACATGATGATATTGAGCTGCAAAAGAATTTGACTTATATTAAGGAACCCAAAAGAATACTATATTTGCTACTAAACCACTCAGAAACCTTCAAATCTCTTATGTCAAAGTGAAATGGAAAAACAAATCAGAAAAAGAAACTACTTGGGAGAGGGAATAAGATATTAGAATGAAATTTCCTCATTTGTTCAATGACCAATTGAATTTTGAGAACGAAATTTAAATAAGAAGGGGTGAATTATAATACCCAAAAGTATTCAAAATAAAATTAAGCATGAATTTCTACATGTTCATTAGTTTTGTTAAAGTATATGTTTAATTTCAAGCATCTGGACATATTGAAGTATATATGAATGATTAATATTATTATAGGGGTGTCAATTCGGGTCAACGGGTCGGGTTCGGGTCGAACCCGGAACTGATCCGGCACTGTTTGGGTCAACCCGAACCCGACTTGTTTTTAAAAACGGGTCAGGTTTCCGGACCCGAACCCGACCCGATTCGGGTCCGGGTCAACCCGACCCGACACGAATGACCCGGAATTGACCCAAAATTGCAAGTTTTCGGGTCAAAAATCGGGTCAATCTTCGTTTTTCGGGTCAAAATCGGGTCAATATCGGGTCAAAAACGGGTCAAACTCGGATTTTCGGGTCAAATATGAGTTTTCGTGTCACTTTCGGGTCACTTTCGGGTCAATTTCGTGTTTCCGTGTCTACCCGAACCCGACCCGATTTTTAAAACGGGTTGATTTCTTCAACCCGAACCCGACCCGTTTCGGGTTTGGGTTGACCCGAACCCGGATTTTTTCGGGTCGGGTTCGGGTCGTGTTTCGTGTCGTGTCAAAAATTGACACCCCTATATTATTATGTATAACTACTGAAATTTTTTCTCATTAATTTTTTTTATTACTATATAACAGCCCTTTAACATTTTTGTTATTATTAACTAAATGCTATTTTTACATGACTATAGCTAGAGGTGTATAGTTAAACTAATTCTTTCATTTCCTTATGAAATAATATTTTGTTGATTGTAGTGTGTGTAGCAAGTTGCCGTTGGTAGAAAATCAGTAAGAGGAATGCTTAAAACTTGCTGGTATGTTGTTGAAATCTGTTAATAACATTGAAAGGTTAGTTGTATTTTATATTTTAGGTTTATGAACTGTAGGAATGTTGAAACCAGGTTATAAAATCATTATAAGTTGTTAAATTCAGTGTTGTTGTTGAATTTAGTTGCTAAATTCAAGAAATAGAAGGGGAAATAGGTAAAGGACATTATGGGACTGCAATAGTTGCTGATTTTAGAAATCAGGGTAGATAGCTAAGGAAGAGAGTTGAATTGAATTAAGAAGAGCGTGATTGAGGTGGTATATAAAAGAAGAAAGAACTGGAATACTGAGGTGAGATACCCATCTGATTCATCAGAATTAGTTCAAATATCATATATTTGTAAGATGATAATTGAAACATTTATGATAGCATGCCTCTCATGCATTAACATGCATTTCCATCTATTTCAATTTATACGTTTGTAGTTTATTCCAGTTATATAGATTGTTGATTCAGTTGATATTAGTGATTGTGATTATATAAAAAGAGAATGATAATACAAAAGCAAATGGTTAAGTCATATATGGGGATAGACCCGTACAAGTAAATACAAAAGACCTGACAAGATAAGCATACACTATCAATTCTAAAAGTTGGGAATTTGGACGCATCCTTGAATGAGAGAGCAATTACAATTCTAAAAGTTGGGAATCTAAACCCAATCTTGAATTGAAAATTTAAAATGATACAAATGCCTATATCAATCATATGACTTGTTTAAAAGGGTGTTGAACAATTAACAAGATGATAAATACTGTTTTGTTTTCTTGTGATCCATATGGAAGGTGTTCTAATCATGTTATTATTTAGTCACTAATGTTATGCCATTCTAAATGATTAATATATTATTATTAATTCTTATACATTGTTTGTGTATTTCATTGGATCATAGCTCATTAGTAGTAGTTATACTGTAGGTAAGGGAAAGGAGCCTGTAGGGCACTAGGCGGGGAAGAGGAGACCATTTCTTTTTGGTGTAAATATGCTTTGGGTGTACAAAGAGATCTTAAAGGAGATCTGACAGATAATTGTATGATCTTTTTTGGTATGTAAGTAAATCTTAAAAATTTTATTAGAGTTTTGTATTTGTTTTAATTATATTTGATGTTCAGTAAAATACATTACATGCTTCTCATTATTAAGTTTGGAGTTGATAGGTTGATATGTTAGGATATTCTAAATAGATTTCTTTTTTTACTAACTTTATTATGAAAATAGTGGCTCAGAATAGGTGTTAGTACGGAGTTAATTTAGATTTTTCTTTTATGTTATACATCAGATTGACTATTAAGAGGGTAAATCAAACTGGGATGTGACACTCGCAGTTTCGTGCTCCCTTCATAGTTCCACAGTTCCGCGCTCCTTCTCAAGGATTAAACCTGCTCTTATAAAAGATTATTATAAAATTTTTCTTATGTTAGAAGAAATTAAATAATTATTCTTTATTTAATTTGAAATAGTTTCTCTAACAATAAGTTAAGACATGTAACGGAGCCATGATTTTTTTTCTTTTTATAATAATGATTTAAAAAAAAAATAAAACCGTCAATACCAATTTCAATCCCAATTGAAAAATGTTGATATGTTTTTAAAAAATTAATAAATTGTGCCCCACATAAAAAAAAAAAAAATCTTGAATTTGCTCTTGAGTTAACATTTCTCTCTTCTTTTAAACTATTCTTCCGTCTATTTCTTTATCCCCAATTTCTTCAATATTCATATCATTAAATTCATCATTATATATATTATTAGCATTATCACTTGCTACTTATTCATTATATTCAAAAGGAGTACTCTTAATAACAGTATTAGAATTCTTTATCTAGAATAAAAAATAAACATAACTAATTATCTCTGTATTAATTGCTTCTCAATATAATGATAATTAATTGAATCGCTTATTTAATTGTTAAGTACTTGAATCATTTGTATTACATAATATCTCTGTATTAATAAATTAGGATGATATATAGTATATTTGCATTCATAAGCAACTTATTGATAAAGTCAAAAATCATAATTAACTCATTATAATATATTTGCATTCCCAAGCAAACTTATAGCTCAAGTTTGTGTGCATTTGAGCAATCCACGTGCATCTTTGTTTAGTGGTTATTATCTTTTGATCGGGACCTAATTTTGCGAAATAGACTATGCGGCTGCGTTTGGCTCGTCGAGACGAATCAAACGGGTCCATTCGCGCACGAATCGAATGCATATCGGGGTGAGAGAAAGTGTGATATTAACAAGGAATCAACTTGATGTCCTCTTGCCAGGATGTAAAAAAAAAATGTACATTCTACTCTCCAGTTAACAGCCAAAATTTCATGACATTTCACTCATCACCTTACTGCAATAAGAAATGCAATTGGAGAGAATCTTCTTGTAGCACAATCTCCATCGAACTGCCAATCTCCATCTCTCCAATGACCTCAAAGCCTTTGCAGATAGTAAGGTAGTATCTAATAAGCTCTCACCTTGCAAACCATTGGCTTGCATGAAGCCAACAAATTCTTCGCGGCAAAATGCCAAATCCAGCCTATCGAAACAAGTGCTAAAATTCAGTATTTTGTCCATAACGCTAAGCAATGAGACATCATCCTTTATTGTAGTCGGAAAATCTTCCAAAACCATACAGCATCGCTTTGCCAACTTCTTCATCACAATCGCCTCATTTTCATTAGAGAGCAAAAATCCAGCATAAGCTAGACGCCCAAGTGATCTTCGAAGGTTCATGGGAGTTGCTCCCAAACGCAGGGCACACAACAGAGCAAAAGAAGGCTTTCCATCCGGCTGGATATATAACAAGTCCTTGGCCCAAGTATTGGATATATTTACATCTATATCAAGCTGCAAAAATGCCTTGTCATTGGGGTTGGTTGAGAGAAGAAAGCCATAATGTTCTAGGAGGTCCAGATTAGAGTATGTTCCATAACTCAGAAGAACCTGTAAAAGAAACAACACTACAATGAATCCTTTTGAATTAGAATTGCAATTTTTGTTTTCGATGATCTGTAACGCCATATTGGTCTTGCAATAGAGAACTATTATAGTGAAAAGTTCTGTAGCAACTGGGTAATCCTGCTTGGTAAAAATATCTAGCAAGAAAATCTAGCTGATTAACAGAACGGGCTTATAAACTTCCACTATGCTAAATAGTACAAAGATTGGAATACTCACAGCATCTCCAGGCTAACCACACCAATGTCACCAATCCATGGCAGCTAAGGCTCCTAAATGAAGACCTAAACTCCACCAACCATCCAGTAGAGTCAACACAAATTACACCCAAACACCTTGATGTAGGATTGAAGTGGAAACCTAAATAAATTCAAAATCAAAACCAAATCCAATTACATCTAAGTAGGATATTTATCCAAACCCTAACAAACATTCAAAATAAATGGAATTAAAATGTTCAAAATATCCTCCTCCGCTGAATGTACAGCAAAATCTTATTTGGGCTCAAATTTTGATGCAATCTGCTATTGGAAGCTTCTCTTCAGCTCCCTGGAAGCATTTAAAAGGTTCTAAAGCACTCTAGAATTTTGATACTCCCAGGTAAATTTTAAACCCCATTCATCTTAGATCTAAGGGCAGAGATCCTTCAAGATTACATCTCTGCTAGAGAACATCTCAACGCAAGAGAGGCTACTTAAGAGAAAATGAAATTGCACAATAAGTGGGTCAGATAATGAATTTGCGACCACCAAACGCATAGCACCGATCCCCACAAATAACTCTTCTAAATTTATGATATCAAGTTTCTTTTGGAGAGTTAGACAAGCCATGTTCAATGACAATCCTTGCACAAAAAGTACCTCCCCCTCAAAACTACTAGGTGTAGTTGTTGGTCTCTTCAAGCACCATAGCACCAAGCAGGAACCTGATCAAATGAACCTCAAGGAAGAGATAAACCATAATTCTTGTCCAAAGGCTTGACACCCACTACATGGAAGACCTTGAGCAAATTAATGAACCACCCTACATAAAAATATCCACGCAGTCCTTAGTACAAGCACCTATGACGATCCACCCAGCAAGGGATCGCCCCGAAGTATCACACCTAATACTCACATATACACAGAATTTAGATAAACACTAAACACACCTAATACTCACATATACCCGCCTAATTTGCACCTTATTCTATATGCAAATTAAACACATAATTCATATTCCAAATGACTATCAAAGGATGTGAAGAGTGATTTATAAGAAAACCATAGTCACAAATATATTTTTTATGGTGCTCCTTTGTAAACCATCCAATTAAACTTCTCTTTAACTTCATAGCACACCAACACAAAGTTCAAACCATCTCTCTCGTGCCCTATAATTAGTTAAAATATTTAAAGGTTACCTGCTCTCCCTTCTTGTAATTTCTCTTAGCATAGAAACAATATGAAGCAGAACTCTCCTCATATCCACCATCTGTTAATCTCTGAGTATTGGAATCAGCCAGTTCAGTGAGTTCCTTTACTTCGTGGCCCTCAACTTGAGAACCTTCAGCGCAAGACTTGTCATCAGGTGCAGCATAGTTAAACAAGTCACCAACAGGGCACAAGCAACCAGCATCATCCCATGGTATAAATAATGTCCGGGAGGATATCTGATAGCTAAAAAAAAGTGAATGTTCTATAAAATAACAAAATATTTTTAAAAAATACTGACAGAATATGAATAAGTAGCTCATAAATGTAAGTACTCACCGTCGCAGAAGCCCAAAGCCATGACCTAAAAGATAAAAGCTGGGGTTTGACCACCATTTCTTGCATGACAATTAAACTTTCCTTCCAGTCTGATCTAGCCTTTACAATAGCGTTTTCTGAAACCCAGATAGCATCTTCTACCTGAGATTTTCATGTGTATAGAAACCTGGTAGTGTCTAAGAGAACAAAACAAATGCATATAGCGTCTACCTGCAGAGCCTGAATTTCAAATTCATGGAAATTTGGCAGTGTGTCATAACTCGAAGGCAACAAAACCAAATAACGGTACCACCAAGATCCCCTTCCTTTTGCCACTTCAGCCAATAAACATATGGTCAATTTCTGTAAGAAAACTTATAATTAAAACATTGCAAATTCAGAATATAGATGCTCGGCATTGTAAATAAAACAAACAACGGAATTCAGAGGGGCATGTGAACTAGAACATGCCTTTAAACAGTTTCTTTGCAGTTCTTACTCAATATAAAAACTTGTCCAATAGCAATGTATATATCAACCATAATTATAGACTGGTTCTCATATTTGTTTATTTCCTACATAGTTGTCAATCAAAAAATGCAAGAAGTAAAGTGAAAGAAAGAAAAGTGCAAACATAATTTTTATAATAGTTCGGTCTCCTGACCTATGTTCACTCCCCAAGTTCCTCATTCTTGCGAATTTCACTAAAAGCACTCCTTTTGAACCCAACAAGGTGAAGAAGCCCTTCACCATTTGTAGGCAGAGAATGATATTTACATAGCTTCTCTCTCCATAAAAAGCCTAAGACTCTCTACTGCTTCCCAGAAAAGCAGAGATGCCTCCCTCCTTTCTGCACGACGAAGATGCCTCCCTAGCCTCCTCGACGAGAATCGATCAAGCCTCTCAACAAAAACTTACAAGAGCTTCAAACCAAGAGCTCCTCACACAAAAATAACCTGGAGGAACCAAGTGCAGAATAGAGTAACAACTGTATAAATCCCCTCATATACTCCTCGGACACCCCCAAAGAGCTTTCTCTCAAACTCACCCCCTCCCCTCCTAGGTGTTTTCTCAAGCTCACAAAGAAAGAATCACCCTCTTTTTCACAATAGATGCTTTGCATCCTATTGTTGAAAACTCTCTCTCTCTCAAAACATAAAAGTGATATTTAAATGAAAACCTTCAATTTTAAATTTCACAGCTAGAACATACAATAACATTAGTTCATTTTAAACAAAATTTGCAAATCAAATGAGTTACACATCACAGTTGCAACTAAGAAGTTGTGGGAAGAGATTGGTCAAGTACTGCTCCTTCTGGTTATAGTTCTTATATAATAACTACTCAATTAAGTTACAAAATATATTGATTTGCAGGTGAATTCAAAGCTGAGTCATTTTCGCATACATCCTTTTCATTAATATGAATTTTTTAGAAGATCTATGCTAAAAACATTGCGCTTGGCACAGGTGCACGGTCTAGTAGGATAGCGCGTACTACATTCAACTTAGAGGAGGACGAAGTCCCAAATCCTAATGATGAGTTTATGTCAGCTAACAACATCAATTATGATATTGAAAGAACCACGAACAACAATTTACTAGATGTTGCGGATGATGTGCCACCGGATTGGCAACCAGGTTCAAATCCTATTCTCGGATCTAAAAGATCTAGAGATAAACCTTCTAGAATTGTGAGGTCCCCAATGCCCCGAGATAATTTTGACAAGTTGTTGCTGAAGTAAAACAAGAATGCAGTTTTCTTTAAGAAAACTGTTGAACTTAGTGATCCATACACAATCATTAATTATTTGGTTAAATTATGTGAAGTCTAAAAAACCTGACTACTCAAGTACTACTCGCAATCCAAGATACATTAAAAGAGAATAAAGATAACAAAGCAATATTCATGACATGAGAGGGGATCTTCTTAAGTAATTGATTGAATATGTATTGAGATCTCGTTCATATTTCTACGCATCCACAGTTTGGTTGTAGTCATAGAACTTGTTATACATGTTTTGAAGTTCTTGGATATTATTAGTTATTTCTATTTCAACATTTACATCTTATTCTTTAGTAGTTGTATTCCACATTACTTGATATACTATATTTTGAAGTTCTTTTATGTTATCAATTATTACTAATTCAATTTTTACATCTTGATCAAAATAAAAACAGAGTGCAGTTAAATAATTTGATAATATATAAAAACTTCAAAGTATAGTACATTAAGCAATCTGTAATACAACTACTAAAGCAACAAGATGTAAAAGTTGAAATAGAAACCACTGATGATATCCAAATATTTTAAAATATGTGTAACAAGTTCTACGACTAAACCCAAACTCTAAATACGTAGAAATGTGGATGAGAGCTCGCTACATATTAATTCATCCCTTAAGAAGATCCCCCTCTCATCTCATGAAAATTATTTTGTTGTTCTTATTTCCTTTAATGCATCCAGGATTGTGAGTAGTGCTCAAGTAATTTGATTTTCTAGTCTTTCTAATTTAACCAAACAATCAGTGATTGTGTATGAATCACTAAGTTTAAGAGTTTTCTTAAGAAAAACTACATTCTTGTTTGACTCCAACAACTTATTCAAATTATTTAATCCCCCATTCTTTCTTGGGCGTCTCACAATTCTAGAAGGTTCATCATTGATATTTTAGATCCGAACATAGGACTTAAATCTATTGTTAGTCCAGTGACACATCATTCATAGCATCTAGTAGATTGTTATTTGTGGTTCCTTCAACATCATAGTTGATGTAGTTAGCTTATATAAACTCATCAGGATTTGATACTTCATCCTCCTCTAAGTTGACTGAAGTATGCGCTATCTTACTAGGCCATGCGCGCACAAGCACAACATTTTCAACGCAGATCTTCTAAAAAATTTCATATTGATGAAAAAGATGTATACAAAAACAGCTCAGCTTTAGATTCTATTACAAAAAAAAAAAATATGTAACTAACTTAATTGAGTAATTATATAAGAATTACAACCATAAGGAGTAGTAGCTGACCAATTTCATATTGTGTATGGATCACTACGTTCTATAATTTCTCATTTTTTAATGAGATGTTAGTCGTCGATGTAGATCTTGATACATGCATATTGACAATACCTAAATTTTAAGACTATATTACTAGGAGATTTCGACTGAATGTAATGTTTTTATCCTAAACATGTTTCTAATAAACCCAAAAATTCATATATCAAAAGGGATGATTGAATCATTACAACAACAGTACATACTACGTTATTTGCATGCAAATACTTGATGATAGATGGAAGATTGAGTAATAAAGCATTTTACTATAATATAATTTGATTATCAAATACATTTCATTTTAAACCCAATTACATGAACCTAGGCACACAGGATATTTGAAGAAAATTGAAATAGACAATGCTCATGTGAAAAAACTGTTCAACATTAACTCACGACTCATTGTACTAAATGTTTGAAAGCTTATTTGAAACAAAACAAAAACTACTAACTAATAGAGAATGAGCAAATGCCATGTGAAAAGAATATCAATAATTGCTATCAATCTTTGCTGAATGCAACCAACCAATACAGGTGTGTGGAAATGAACATTGTGATTTTAAGTGATGTTTGGCTGCAAGTAAAAGCATGTTATGCATCGACTACAAAGTGTAATTGGAGCTAAAGTCAAGAAAAGTTCAAGCCTCTAGAACTAACTGAATTTTTCCTGGTATCTCGAGTTCAGCATGTCAATCCATGCTAAAGCCCAATTTGATCAACTGAACTTACAACACTAATTGGGGTTAAACAATCACAAAATAAAGCACAGTCCTAAATTTCTAGGGGCTTCTTTTGGTGCTTGAAGATATCCTGTTTTAGAAAGCAATGAATTTTTTAACTCGTTTTGAGTGCAAAAATAAATGATCTGTTCTGGCTGGTTTTAAAGGGGTTTGAAAATTTGAAAATGCCTGAAAAATACCAGGCTAATGGCGGAAACTAAAAAATTGTCCAACTTCAAAACATGCTTCCTAACTTCAGGATACCAAATGACCTTAAAACATAAAATAGATCCATTCAAACTTCAGAATTCCATAAAAAAAAAGTCTGCTTACTTCTGTAATAGCTAGCACAAGATTTTACTCTAACCTAGCGTTACATCAATGCATTGTTAGTTTCAATCTTTTGCAGCAAATCACAATATTTTCCTACATCTAAGGATTATCAAATGAAGAAAAAGTAATTTTCACGGATTCTCGCCAAAACAAAAACTCGTACCTATGTTGCACCAATACGGATATGGCGACACGGATACGGGACACGACAATTCTTAAAAATACAGGATATGGATATGGTGCGGATACGACATTATAATATATAATTCATACATAAAAAGTAACAAATTAATCAAAACATAATATTTGAAATGACAAAAAACAATTGAAAACAACATCATTTGTAGCATTGTATCATATAATATCAAAATAAAAGTATTTAAATGTCTAGTACAACAACAAAAACAAAAACATAAATTATCTAGTAGATGAAGTTTCAACTATTCAGATTAGAATGAATGATAGGATTAGCTTTTCAGTGATTTTGTCTTTGAATGTTCTATATCATATTCAATGAATATATAGCTTCCAATTTCTGGCTCATCAGTGAAAGATTAGCAATTTCTAATATTCTCATTCCTCAAGAGATTCAAATCCATTTCCAGCAATATCCCACATCCTGTTTGTCTCCTTCCTATAGTTGATAAGTTTTTCCTTGAAAAAAAGTATATAGTATATATATATATATTGTTGCACCTATGGCGCGGGGTCAAGGGGTAGCGCCCTTGCGAGAGGGTTTGGGGGCAGCTCCCGAACAAATTTTTATTGTAAGAGTTGTTTTTAAACTTTTTCTACTTCTCGGTATTTCTGCTCGGTACCGGTATCTCGGTACCACTCGGTACTCATGCCCTCGTACAGAGGGGTACCGAATGTACGCGAGCAGTCCGAGCAAGTATTGAGTTATAGTATCGCCGGTACCTGAGCAGTACTGAAGTTCTAGTATTCGTCGTACCGAGCTGTACCGAGCAGTACCCGAGCGGTGCAGCGAGCCAGTGCAGAGCGGTGCCGCGCTGAGTTCGGTACCGCGAGCCTACTATTAAAGAAAGCGAACCTTCAATGCTCACATGAATGCTCGCCTTCACTGTTGTGTAGTCGAGCTGCTCCGTCGACAAAGGGAATTCTATGCGGCTTTAATGCTCGTGTCGTCGAGCCCCCTCTTTTTCACGAAGGATGATCCTATCCGCTTCTATGCTACGTTCGTCAAGCCCGCTGCGGCTTCGAATATAAGAAGAAGGACGAACACCACTGCGCGAAAACAAAAAATACGCGTAGGCTCCGGCCAGAAATGTTTAATACGCATAATGAACAGGGATACTCGAGCGGATGCCCGAATAGTGAATAGGGCAAATTGCCAGCTCTATTTTTTTAATAGGACACGCGTATCCGATACGCAGTGTCCGCATCAATTTAAATAATATTTTAATTTGGACATGGCAAAGCCGTATCCGACACATATCCATGTCGTACAGAGGCGTATTTCCATAATGCCGAACGTGTCTGATACATCATGCCTTCGTAAATAGGTGTATCTGTGGCAAGCATAGAGCTCGTACTTGTTGACAAGCATTGACCCTAACAAGGAAGAAGCCAAAAGCTTATGAGGAGGAAAATGATCAGAGAAGACTATGGTCGACGGTAGGAGGCGGTGATGCGAACCAGTTGTTGGTAGATTAAATGGGTTTGCAACTACTCGACAACATAGGGCGCTGCGGAGAGTTTTTTGCGAGTACATGAAATCCGTAAATCCGTCGAATGATGAGATTATAGGGCGTTGGTTGTCTGGAAAAGGAATGCAATATAAAGTAAAAATGCCATTGTTTAAAGTAATGCAATGTATTCAAAATACATTTGGAGCTGTTGATTGTCTACAAGTAAAATACCAGGGGAACTATTTTTTCTTTATGAGGTATAGACCACGGTGTAAAGTAAAATAGTGTATTTTTTAATACTTTTCGGTAAATAAGTAAACCTCTTCATTACTATTGAATAGCAAACTTTAAATAGAACTGACTCGGGTACCTCTGAAAACAAGGCAATCATATCTAGAGGTTAATTAATATTTCTGGCAACAGACTGAACAATTATTACCGATATTTTTTCATAAATTATCTAAAATACATTTGAAGGCTTACAATCGGTTAAAAATATCGCTTATACATATTAATATATATATATATATAATTATAAATAAAAGTTCTAATATTTTCAAAAAAATAAATCAATTTCCAAGTTATTTACGCATCCATCTAGCCTTCAACTCCATATGTTTTGAGAGGAAAGATTGCATCTTTGTTAGATTCTTCAATAAATTATCGTATATTGTATCAATCTCTTCTTCAATAAATCTAGGAATGACTCAGTCATAAGTTCAGTGAACTTTTTTTTTTCTTGAGAAGCTCTTGTTGTGTTTTGGATAGCATTTGCAAGTTGAGTAATACTATCGGCCATCAACCCAATATATCCACGAAGACTTTGATCAATAACATATATTTTACTCTTCTTTTTGGAATCAAATGCAACACATATTTGTGATGGATCCATAATGACTAAACATAAACAAAATATATATTCCATTAACAAAACATTTACAAGATTGTTTCCCACCAAAAAAAAAAAGACAAAACTAATAGACATATACAAGAGAAAATGCAAAATATAGTATAATGAATATACGATATTATTTTCCACAAAAAAAAAAAAAACAAAGAAAGCGGGTTAGGCACCCAAAACCTAGTACCTATCATTTTGCAAGAGAATCCACATGGATTGTGCAATTTCATCTCTTTTTTTCTAACCATTCTCTAGAATCATCTTCAATTTATTGAACTCTTTTTCTATGATGAATTCTCCTCGCTCATTCATCCTCAGAGAGAATGAATTCATCAACACCTTCAGTGACTATTCAATTATGCAAAATGCAATAGCTAAGAACAAATTCAACTTGAGTTTGCAAATGAAAATAAGGTTCGCACTTTATAATTGTGAAATGATTCTTCAAAGAACCGAAGGCATGCTCAACAGCTGTGCGTAATGAGTGTCGAAGATTAAAAAGTTTCTTACAATTTATAGGTTGAATAGAACTAAACTCTTTCAAATGGTACTTTGTTGCACGATATGGAGCAATAAAACCTTTGCATGTGTAGTAGCCACCATCAGTAAGATAAAATTTTCCTATGATATTGATTTTATATCATGATATGTCTCACAAATAATTGTCATGAAAAAAAAAGTTATCCATTCTACCTTCTAGGACTCATAATCCATTTGGTCTTTTTAACGCATTTTTAAGAACTATTGCGTCATGAGCAGAACCTTCTCAACCAGCGAGAACATATGTATTAAATTTAGTTATCAATTCTCCTTAGGAACCCTAGGTTTAATGTGCGTTCCATCTATAGTGCTGACACAATCCTAATTTTGGTAAAAAGCATCTTAAGAAGACCACAAAAAAAAGTATTAAATTTGCTCAAATGTGATTAGATTATACCTAAAAAAAGCATGAACCTACTACTTGACTGAATCTTACATGGACTTCCAGGACTTGGAGGCTTAATAAATTCATGTCGTAATTTCTCTACAATGTACATTACAGCTTTAAAATATCTACTAATAGTATCCCCAGAGTGTTGGAAGTTAAATCGAATGACCCGGTTAAGAACACTATGTCCGAGACTCCGAGTGTATGTAATAACATAGCAATTTGTTCCTCAATCCGAACATTAAATGTGTCTACCAACAATCTTCGTGTTCGCATTAAGTCACAAAATTTGAAGAAAGGCTCTCTCCTCATGCGTACCATGTCAATACAAGCAGAATCAGATCCTTCATATAACTTGAAAGATATATGTGACATTGTATAGTCCGTTTTCCATTATATTTTTTTTCTTTCTCTGTCAATCTCACACAATAACATGCATATAATACTAAATGCAACAACAAACACTGCATGTTCTGCAGAATAATTTTGAGTTCCATCTACTCCTACAACATTCCAATACTTATCCAAATTGGATAATTGATCTTCATTATATTGCAATTGGTCATCCATCCTTGTATCTATCAACAACGATCTATAATTTTTCAAAAAAATAATTAAGATGTGCATAATATAATCGAGATGTGATTAAAATAATACCTGAATATGGATCCATACTTATCCAATTGGATAATTGATCTATAAGCAAATACATAATATATAATTCCTTTTGATAGAACAGATGTTAATTTTTTAACTGGTACATAAAACCTAAGTTTAATAACTCAATCTTGTTTTTCTGCTTTTTTTCTTTTAAAAATTACATCTCGATTCTTTTCAATCATAAGAAAACTCAAATTTTAATACATTGCACACACCCAATTCCCATTTTCTAACTAGTCAATAGACAAAGCATTGAAAGCAAGCAATGCATTCATTTATTAGTGTCGAACTCCAACGCCATGCCTGAACACAAAAATCCTATAAACAAAATGTGAATCATGCCAAATTAAGAAAACTGATGCCAAAGATTACAAGTGAAAAAAAAAACATAAAAGAAAATTTAAAATCCTAAAATTTTCTCCAAAATCCTTTTATTCCCAAAACTAACCTTACAAACACCTTTCTCGACATTTCTATTACAACAAAATGCAATATTTCATCTCAAAAATCGCAAAATTTGCAAGAAAACTCACCCACCACCTCCACCATTAGCATAGAAACCCTAAACACAAAACCAGCTTACAAATTAATTGAAGAAGAGGACTCCAATAATATCTCTCCTAATAACAAGTCAAATATTAAAAGCAAGATATGAAGAGACGAACCCTAATAAGGATGAGCACGTCAAGTTTGCACGAGAGATAAAGCCACACACTTGATGAGGAAGAATGACTATCATGCACCCAAAGACTCGATTTCATGAGGAAGAATGACATGCACGATAGGTTTGTGTGAGAGCTTGATTTCGAGAGGAAGACCGACGGAGAGAGCTTGATTTCATGAGAGAAGATGTTCGAATAAGCTAGGGTTTGCGAAAGACAAAGAGCATCTTTCCCGTGAGCATCTCTATCCTGCGAGCGCTCTGTGTTTGTAACTCGCCTAATTCGAGCAGGTTTGGAATGCACCACAAATATGCTATCCAAGGAGTTTAAAATGCTTTGCTCATTTACTTTGCATTTGCTTTACATCAAATCAAACAAAAAAAAAATCAAAACCCTTGTATCTACTTTATAGTACACTCTAAATACAGGCAACTATAGTAAATCCCGTATTTATGTCATAAATCCGTAAATCCAGAATTGACGATGGATTTGGATTTACTGCGGGTTCAAAAACTGTTTGGCGGGATTTACGATAAATCCAGCATAAATCGCGCTACCAAACAACCCTTTAATACAATTTTTAGGATTTAACGTCTCTAGGATTTGCTAAACCTGGATTCAAGGGAATAACTAGATCCTATTTATCGCCAAACATCCCCTACATACTTCCAATGTTCAAGATAAAGGTCATGTTTTATCTGCATATACAGAATCCTCTTCCGAGCATCAATCCTATTTCAAGTAATCCGCAAATAGAAGTTTTACTCAATTTTAAATTAGCCTTTCATTGAAAAATGACCACAGTTAGATGCGTTTGCTTCATATCCGTTGCAAAGGATTAGTTAATGCATGCCAACTAAATTTAGACAATGGAGCGACATACTTAAAGCAATAGGCACTCTATAACAGTTAGTAGACCAACAGAAAAAACTCAAAGAGGAAGCGAAGCACCTGTGAAGGCGACAGATTAGGGTGCTTGTTCACGCAGGATGCTAGCTTTTCATCATGCAGCACGTTCTGCTTCGTGAACAATGCCGCTCTCGGAACTCTCAGGATTAATTCACCCATCCTGAGATTGCGGCTGGCGGCCAAACCCCTCCTGTGCATACAATGAAAGTGAAAGTTTAAGAGATCTCGGCGATAAGAAAACAGAGGGAGGGGAGGGGCAATTACCCGCCAGCGTCCGAGAAGTGTGATACGACAAGGGAATGTCCCAAGCAGGAAGAGGAGGGGATGGAGGAGGAAGGGGCTGGAGAAGGATCGTCGGAGATGCCGATATGTGCTGCCCAGCACAGGAGAGCTTCCATCTTCGAGCCCTCTGTGTCACTCATGTCCTGGACGCTCCTCTCTCTCTCTCTCTCTCTTCCGCAAGGAGGGCTTAGGGCAAGTTATTTATTCTTAATTAGGGTTTAAATAAATATTTATATATCTAAATTTTAAATTTTTATATTTATTCAAATAAAATTATATATGTATATAAATTAATGTAACATTATCGTTGCTAGATCCCTAGTCCTAGATGAGAAAAGTGAAGGATTATATTAGACAGTCGATAGCTGGCATAAAACTTATCGAATAATTATGACATGAATTATTTAATACATTGTGTTAAACCTAGAGCGTTTTTTGAAAGCGACGTGTTCTATGACCTGAATATAGCGAAAAGTGAGTAAGGGCGCTACATCGGCACCGGGTTCAACATTAAATATGCAAGGGTTCCCAAATCATGGATGAGTATGGGCAAAGAAGCTAGTGCATAATCCTAAAATTAGGATAGAAAACTGAAATATAGGTTCCCTTATAGGCATATTAATAGAATTAATAGATATTATGATTATATGAAGATTAATTTTCTTTGCATTTGAGAAACTAAATGGGCTGTAGAGAAGGCTAAGGAGATTGATAATTTAGGATTTAAACTATGATATTCTATTGGAAGTCGTACTAGAAATAATGTATGTGCGAATATAGATAAGAGTTTGAAAGATAATGTTATAAAATTAATAGAATTGAAGATTGAATTATAGCTTTAAAGATTTATGATTATTAATATTATAAGTTCTTATGCTGCTTAAATAGATTTGGATATGTGTTCAAAATTAAAATTTTGGAATAACCAAGAAGAAATTAATAAAAAAGATATATCTCGAAGAAAGAATTTTTATTTGAGAAGATTTAAATGGACATGTTGGTAGAGAGATAAATGATTTTAAAAATATTTATGGTGGCTATGACTTTGGGGCAACCGAGCGACTAATGGAGGCGGTAAGACACTACATGAAAATCGTTCATTATCGATGGATTTTTCTGGCGGAAATTTTTCCATCAAAATTTTTGGAGAATTTCCAATGGATTAAACGAAATGTTTCCATGAGATTTTTTCGGTGGGATTTTTGACGGATTTAATTTCTAGATGATTTTTAATAATTTAATTTAATGTTTTATTTTAAATAATTTTCAAATTTATTTTTTATTTTAATTAATTAGTAATTAAATTATTTATTTTATTTACTTATCTACTATATCAAAAATTTTCATCAAAAATCATTCAAATCCATAAAAAACTGAACAAAATTTTGCCAGAAAATCTGCCGATAATAGATAATTTTCCTGCAGTGAGACCATATCAGTTTTTTCTTTAGCTTGTGATTTTGTAATTGCTAATACTTTATTTAAGAAAGGAGATGAGCATCTCATCACTTATAAAAATGGATGCAGTAAAAAATAGATAATTTATTATCTTATAAGAAAAATAAATCTTTTAGATTGTAAAGATTGTAAAGTTATTTTAAGTGAATGTTTATGTATCCAACATAGCTTATTAGTTTTGGACTTTAAGAAGAAGGGGTAGAATATTAAAAATAAAGTAAATCATTATTCTAGGATTAGATGGGGGGATTTAAAGAATATTAATAAAAAAATTATAATAAGATTCTAGATCTTAAGATTTTATATGTGCATGATGATGTTAATATATATGGGAAATAATAACTAATGATATTAAAGAATGTTGTAAAAGAAATACTTAGAGTATCAAAGAGAAAAGCTAGTTATAGTAAAAATTGTTGGTGGTAGAATCAAAATGTACAGGAAAAGATAAAAAATAAAAAAAATTGTTATAAAAATAGGTTTAGCTGTAAAAACTGATAATTGGGAAAGATATAAAGAGGTCTATAAGGAGTCTAAGAAAGCAATTTATAATGCAAAGATTTTAACTTTTAATTATTTATATAATAGATTGGATACTAAGGAGGGCAAGAGATATATGTATAAATTAGCTAAACAAAGAGATATGAGTAGTAAGGTTTTAGTTCAAGTGAAGTGTATTAAGGATGACGATAAAAAAAGCATTTATTAGAAAGGGATATTCAACAAAGGTGTATGAGAATGCGATTGACTTTAGTGATCGTAACCCCTTAAATGAAAATAAAGATTTTTATTTTTATTGACATATTAGTAAAATCGAAGTTAAAGAGGATTTAAAGAAAATGAAGAGTTGAAAAGCTGTTGAACCTGATGATATTCCAATAGAAGTGTGGAAATGCTTAGGAAATGAAGGAATTTCTAGGCTTACTAAACATTTTAATATTATTTTGAAGACTAAAAAGATGCTATATGAGTGGAGAATGAGTTTGTTAATTCCAATTTTTAAGAATAAAGGTAATGCACAAGATTGTGTGAATTATAGAGAAATTAAGTTAATGTGTCATACTTTAAGACTATGAGAGAGATTTATGGAGAATAGGTTGTAGTGTAACATTAATGTTTCTCAAAATTAATTTAGATTCATGTCATGTATGCATAATATATAAGCTATACATTTATTGAGATGTTTGATGGAGAAATATAAAGAGAATAAGGAGGATCTACATATGCTTTTTATTGATTTAGAGAAAGCATATGATAAAGTTCCAAGAGAAGTGCTATGAAGAGTTCTACATACTAAATGGGTTAATAATGCTTATATTCAAGTCATTAAGGATATGTATGCATGAGCTATTACTTGTGTTCAAGCACAAGGTGGTTTGACTAAGCATTTTTCCTATTTTAGTTGGATTACATCAAGGAACAACCTTAAGTTCATATATTTTTTCTTTTGTTATGGATATGCTCATTAGACATTTGCAAGAGGTTGTATCCTGGTGTATGCTTTTCGTTGATGATGTTCTTCTTGTTGATAAGACTAGAGAGAGAGTTGAAGATAAACTTGAATTATGGAGGTCAACCTTAGAGTCTAAAGGCTTTTATTTGAGTAGATTTAAAATTGAATACATTGAGTGTAATTTTAGTAATGATGATCTAGTTTTGGGGGGG